TATAAAGATATTGAGAACTACAGGCAAGAACAAGCGAAAGAAAACTGGACAAAAGCCAATAGATGCAACGGTAATCATCTGTCAGTGTTTTCGAGGGCAACTGTCTGTAATCTTTTCCTTGCCTCAAAAATTTGGTATGTGATGCAAGTATTGCATTGTTCAAGGGCAAATATACAGAAGCTCCATCACATCTTCGCAGTGTTCATGTGGGCCTCGAACTAGGAGAGATGCAGTCGAACTAATCTGTTTTGAAGAGTACACGGAGGGCTGGGTTTACGACAACTTTTCATACCCCAAGTCGTAAATAGGTTCTTTTTTTTTTCGCTACACAAGGGATCCTTTCTTACGTTCAGTGTGCCAACTGAGACTGATGCGGGCTCTACCTGGATATGTGGTTAGCACGAATGACATAACCAATGAAGTGTATGGTTTTTATCTGTTAGATTTTCTAATGGATATTTGTTTTCAGTGACTCGCAAAAAGTTGTACAAAGATGTGTGTGATGTTTTATCTGAACCCCTATACCGTGCCATGTACATTGGAGGTCAAGGGCAAGATGTGCTTAAACGAGTGAAGAGAATGCAAGTGGCTCCTGCCGAGAGGTCCTTCTTTTTTAGCTTCACACAGCTACATTATCTGTCAGGACATCTGAAGCAGACCGTGGTTTTTACTCACCTTGGCGGACAAATTGCCTTATCTGTGGAAAACCAGAAACTATAGGCCATGTTTTCTTACACTGTTGGGAGGGAATATATTTTTGGAATGTACTTCAAAGGATGTTAAAGAAGGAATTACCTTTAAATTCTTATGGTATAAGGTTTCTGCCAATAGTGAATGAAGAGGGAATGCCTTTTGTTTTGATGATGTTATGTAGCCTTCACTGTTTATGGTGAGCCCGTATGGCAGGTTTTTATTGCGATCATAATGCACAGCCTGCACGAATGTATTTCCGTGAATGTATGACCAAGTTTGGCGAACAGCAAAAAACTCAGGAGATTGTACCCGAGTGGTTGTCGAGGGTAGAGCCCTTGGCAGCACTTAGGAAATTTTAGTTTGTGTCGGGCTGTTACTGCTTGTTTCTGTTGTGCTTATAGTTTTGATGTACGCACCTATGAATAGGCAATAAAGAAAAAAAAGACCTCTCCATGGCTTAGTAGTTAACGCCTCGCATTGACGACGCGGTGGTCCTACGTTTGATTGCGTGTGCCGGATCGAGTCCTTTTTTTTCTGGGTTTTTCTTTCTTGCGTTTTCATATATATATATAGATACGTATACATATACGGTGCATGACGTTGACGCCGGTGGCGAAATACAGCCAAGAGTGTCCATATAATTGCTATCGCAATAAAACGCAGTACAAAGCCCGCCACAAAAGGCGCGGCGGGAAAGCAAATGGGCTTATCCACGGCACGGGCAAGAAGTACTACACAGGGTGACAAAAGGTAAGCGTTCGCCGCAGGCGCAAGGCGCTGTTGGTGAAGTCCTAACAAGCTCCAAACAAAGGGGCTGATGGACGGAAAAGAAATGCGTGTTTACCCCATGTCGTCCCGGAGAGGTTTTTTTCTTGCTCCCGATGCGCGCGCGCGATTCGTCCCGAGACACTCTGTGCATAGCGCCACTTGTTGACAAACGCTACCGGGTGAGAGGGGTTAAACGTCACTCCCCGCTCCCCCAGCGCGGCAGACCGCGGAGGAGAGAAGAGTTATATCAGGACATGAGAACGGCAGAAGGCGGCAAAGCCCACGCAAAGACGGCCGGCTAGCCTCGATTCCCGCAAACCAAGCACTTGCACCTCTCATAAGCAACAGATATGACACGGATGTCCAACCAGAGGCACTCTCGCTGAACCCAAGCATTCGCACCTCTCATAAAGTCACAGATATAACATGGATGTCCAACCAGAGACAAATTTGTGCTGGAACCAAGCGTTGCACCTTTCATAAAGTCACAGGTGAAATATGTATGTCCAACCAGAGACAAACTTGCACTGAAACCAAGCGATTGCACCTCTTGTAGATCTACAGCCACGTCAACATAGGCGTAGGCCTTCCGTTGCTTTGGTGGTCTTCTCGTAGCCGCTGTTGCCTTTCCCGTTCCCTAGTGTTGGGCAAACTATTTTCTTTTTTAGTGCACCAGTGGTGAGTAATGGGATTTACCCAATTTTTCTGGTACATACCGGTTTATGATGATGACAGTTTCCCAATAGGCCACACAAATTTCTGTGGTACATATCCATTTGTTTGACTAAGCCGTTGTCTCCATTATCAGTGGACTAGTGGCGAGTAGTGTGATTAGCTCAATTTCTGTCGCACAAACCCATTTAATTTTCGAGATAGAGTTGGACACACTAAGGCTAGTTTAAACAGCTTCGCTGTTAAAAAATAAGCTGTAGGTAGGGGCTGAACCCATACCTTCTGCATTGTACATGGGTTGTTCTACCAGTTGTGTTACCAACCATTTTATATGAGTTCACCATTTTTTGACCAGAGCACCATTGTGAAACTTATCTCCACGAAACCTAACTGTATCTGCCATCGAATTCCTAGACCTTCCTTGCGGTTACTCTTGGTTAATGCTAAAAGTCTATTTAATTCTGTATAACTAATGCTTTGAGTAGTATGACAATCTCATCAAATCATCTTTACGCATTACAACTTTGCTCCATCAACCCTTGTTTGCCTAGGATGCATTTTTTTTAATGCCTTGCTGCAAACTGCTGCGACCATTGCAAGCCAGTGAATTATAAGCAGTGGGAAGTGAACCGATTGAACACACAGGCAGAACTCTCAACCACACTTCAGCTCAGCGACTTCATCCCAATTCAGCCTTTTCCTGTTCTGCATGCTCATTGAGTCGTGGCAAGTGGGTGGATAATGAATCATGTCAAAGCAGACAGTGCTATTCGTTTTTTAAAGAAGATGGGATTTCCAGTAATCACAAAGAGAATTTGATTGGGTTCTTTAGAAAATGTTGCTGGTCCCCATGCAAGCTTGCACTGGTGGTGATGCTGCCCCGCCGTGGTGCTCTAGTGGCTAAGGTACTCGGCTGCTGACCCGCAGGTCGTGGGATCGACCTGCGGGTCAGCAGCCACTGCGGTGTGATTCGCAGCAGCCGCTGCGATTGATATCAATCAATCTACCTGGCGGTGCTGCAAATTTGATATCAAGCAGAGCAGACTACAAACAGGATGGAATAGTTCATTATCTTGTTAAGGGTGTTACCAAATGGTGCAGAAACTAGACAAAATGAAAACATGAATACTGCTGTCAAGCTGACTGAAATAATGATTTGCCTCATATTAAAAAAAAATACAGAGCATGCTAATGAAAATTCAGTTAAAATACACATTTTGTTGTAACCAAAATGAATCTAACTTCATTTAACTGTGCTGCAATGGCAAGTAAATATGTTCCAGTGGGAGCAAACAGCCGAGTTGCACACCTGTGTGCTCCATTTAGGAGCAGGTGAATACCAGCTACCAAAGTGCTCGATCCTTTACATTGACCTCTACTCAGTCAGTGTTTTTCACAGCAGCTGCAATGTCTATACACTAAAAAATGCATACAAATTTAGTTTTTCGTAAGGCAATGCTTTCACTTGGCCATTGACAAAGTTCTATCACAGAACCCAGTTAATAGGTTTTTTAAGTCACCATTACAATTGGTCTACTAGAAATGGCCCTATAGAGTTTTGTTTCTCTTTTACTGCTCATTACTGCTTAATGTGTCATTATAAAACACAATCTTTGGCATTAATCTTCACTAATATACATAGCTTAACTGCCATCGTATGACATTTTTTGGTAGCAAGTTTTCATGTGTGATGCTTGTCTCATGAAAAGCACGAAGCAAACAATTGGGAGCGGTAACCTTACACCACTGCAGCATTATTTACCGCACTCACTAGCCTTTGTTACAAGAAAATGTACACAGTTCATTTTCTTTTCTGGTATAGGCAAACCTCCCATTGTTTGGCTGGTCATTCCCATGTTGCATTCATTTACTTAGTCTGCTCAATCGAGCAAGTACATGTCTTATTTTCTCAATACTTTGACTGACTGACAATACTGAATCAATATCAACAATATCAAAAATCAATCAACAATACTGCCCTACAACCTTAATGGTGACTAGTAACATTCCAATATTGCAGCTAAGGTGGAAAATTCTCAGGCATTTCTCAGGCTTAAATTCTTGTTCTTACTGAAAAATATTCGTTTCTCTCTCAACCCTCACCCTTTCATACGTTCGTTCGAAGCACGGCAAACAAGGCATCGCCATACTTAATTCTCAATGCCTTTTAGTACAAAAACTAACTTTCTTCAGTATTCATTTTCTCCATGTACAATAACAGACTGTAATAATTTGCCTGGTGAACTTCTGTCCAACATTGACGCTATTCCACCATTAAGGTGCCAAGTGTATCGTCTTTTTTTTTGTCTTGTTTAGAACTTGTATATGCTATGTATACATGTAAACATTTGTATTGCTCTCCTTAATTTGTTCTGTACTTGCAATTTTGCTTTCCTTTTTATTACATTTTTCTACTTTGTTTCTACAAAGCCCCTCATGCTTGGGACCCTGCAGTAGGTCATAAATAAATAAAATAGCTAGAGGAGTGGCTCTGAGGTAATGCATCATATAGGCATCGAGGCACATTGAGGTAGGCATTGAGGTAGCACATAAACAGCGCTATTAACTTTATGCAAGATTTAGAAATGGGAAGAATAGGGTGTACACAATGTAGAGCAATACAGCGTAGCAATAAAGGTTATTATTGATACTATGATGGTTTTGTGAATATTTGTTTCAAGATCATATGCTAGACAATATAGATTTAAAGGTACTGTAAAGTGAAACAATGAATCCACTTAAATTGCTGATTTGTGCTGTTAGAACAACGATTTTACCATTGTAGGTTCATCAATAGAGAAAAAAATCAAGGTCGTCGAAGCATAATTTTGAAATTTTGTGCCGAAATAATCGCACGTGACGTCGCTGATTTCAAAGTGTATTTATTTCCTGAAACTTGGTATGTTCAGCCTATGACCCCCCTCAGAGGACAATGTACTTAATTTTTACTGATTAAGAACTACGTAGGACTGTATAGATGCTGTCAAAATAACAAAGGCCATGACATTTGGTGCAAAAATTTGAACATGGCATTGCCACCAGCATTTTATTTTTGTGCATCTTATCTCAGGAAATGCAATGATTATGGAATTGTGAAAGAGTAAGTTACTAATATAAGAAAAAAAAGTTTTTCTATTTAGTGTCCCTTTAAAAATGATTGCATGCTGTTATTTATTCATTTTACTGCAATAATATAAAAGTGAATGATGCAGCACACTAACACAAAATCGATGCTTTTAAGAACATTGTTGAGATGAGAATCAAATTCCATGCTGAAATAGCTTGTCTTCATGTCTGCAATTTCTGGGGATGTTCCACAGACCACCAGACTCAGATGAAGTCTGCAGTCTTCTTCCTGAAAAAATAAAACAAGTAAAAACATCCATGCAAATTAAACGTATGAATCACATGGTTCAATTATACATTCTTTAAAACAGCAGTCTGACCTTTCAGGCTGGGCCACAAGCGCCTGTGAAAGATTGGTAAGACCTTTTAGGGCTAAATATTGAATGAAAAAATCATGAATGAAATATAGAGTAGCAATAGTGTTTCCAATGTATCAAATGGCTGCAACACATGAAAACAGCTGAGAGAGTCTCGCTTTCTACTGGTGAGTCCAAGTCACATGCACAAATGTCTCTATAAAAACGCACTTCATTTCTCTCATATCCTTCAATATAGACCAACCAGAAAGTCCCTTTGGGGAAGGGGTTTGCTTTATAATACTTGCAAATTTTAGTATCTATCCACAAGTTATAATTGGGCCTGTTGAGAGGCACTTCATTCACAAAATAACTATACAACAGATTTATTTCTATGCTTTGATCACATGTATTGATAGTCCCTTTTGCTGTGCAAGCCAAACCACTTTCTGTTATTGGAAATTGTAAAATCAATGACAGAATCTGGGATGTTCCCAGGATGCACAGATGTATTTTCAGCATAGCTAACATAGCTGCTTAAAGGGACACTTTAAGCAAATGTTTAGTTGCAATTGATAGTCGAAAAAGCGGTCCAGAAATCTCAAAGTGCTACTTTTGTGCCAAGGAAGTGCTTGTTTCGAAATAAATGCACATAATAATGGTCTAAATCGCGTTAGTGCGCTTCAAATCACGCACGTGAAAGAGAATTCTTAGACGTCACTGCTTCCGTGCCCAACGTTGCCCGCCTTTGCTACGTGGCCGCCTACACCAATAGCAGCAGAGCGAAAGTAGCTTGAGCCACAGTAGCAACAACAGCCATTGAACAATTTTCTGCAATCTCTGAGGCTATGGTTCTGCTTGCTTGGTTCAACTGGGCCACGCTAGATGGCACCACCTACTCAGCCCAACCGGCCAAAAAAATGAGTTTTTGAACCACTTGCACCATGCCCCGTAGAAACAATGCCAGGCAGTTCTCTTTTTTATAAATCAAGCAAAAATAGACAAGCAGCATCTTATTATGCCTCTTGATGCACGAAAACTTTTAAAATTGCAGCTACTTTGATTACTAGTGATTAATTGTAGTTGGATCGGAAAAGCAAATCAAAGGCACAAAAACATGTCCTAAATTTTAGTGAATACAGGGTCGGCATCGTTGTTTTTTTTCTTCTGAAGCTCCCGTTATCTTTTTATGGAATGTGAAGGCATCGACAGGTAGCAGAAATCTTGGCCACAACCGGTTATGAGCCACAGCTCTCTGACGTTCGTATGTCCAAGTGGGTGAAACAACTTTTACTCGGCCAAGAACGCTATTTTTGCACAGTCAACAACATAATATACAAGAACGCCTATGTTGCCCAGGAGAAGCTTTGCACTGATAATTTTATCCTCAAATTGCTGTCATCGCCAAGCGTAATAAACCACTCCCTCCGTAGACGCCGACGAGTATGGTGTTACAGTATGTGATCTTCATCATGAATGTATCAGGCAGCCGAAATACCGACTACGTATGCGATGCAATTTAAAAAAACGGTCATTACTTTTACGTACAGTTACCAATCGCAATTTTGCTTTCAAGCAGCTGGTCTTGTAAAAAAATGGCAGGTTGTTGGTGTCACTTTCAAGGCGGCTATCGCGATGAGAGTCCCACTTTCACTGATGGTATCACTCGCGCACAACTTCTCGGTGATTACATGTGCGGGAAACAAAATATTTTACGATGCACCACTGTCCTTGCTTCTACCTGCCCGATGAATACAGATGGCCTAACGAACATGCATTAATGCTCGCCCATAAGCTTCGATGTGAACTTGCTGCAACTGAAATTGCTAAACAGTGTAAGCTTCCTATTAAAAATGCAAACAATCTTCAACATAATATTTTTATCTCTTAATTTTACATTTTTCTTTACGCTACACAGTATATAAAAGTTAGCGTTTGTGAACCACATGCCGAAGCGTAGTGAAAAAGCACGTGCTTGGGCTTCGTAGCCTTGGCTGTGCTGCCGCAGAAAGTTGTTGCTGAGTATAAGCTCTAAGCACCCCTTTTCCTTAATGAACTTTTTCAATGGACCACAATTTCACCATGTGATACAGTTACAGTCTGTTTCACACTTAGGGGAAATCTCTGAGTGAATGGCACCGTGGTGCACCATCCCTGCAGTTGCACACCAGCAGCAGCACGCACGTGTGCAGACACTTGAGGGGTGTAGTGCTGAACCGCATTATCTGCTACGGGGGCGCCAGCTGGGTGCATTGTCGGGCAGCGCATGTATTTCACTATTACTGCGGGAACTGGGCCGATACTCTGTATTAAATATTGTGTAACGTCAACTTCTCAGCATTTATTGGCGATAATAGGGCTCTAGAAACAGCATACTTTGTTTGCTCTCTCGAAACTATGTGGAACTGAGTGGGTTCACATATATTTTTTCACTGTGTTTGCACGAGGCACACTACACATTGTACATGGTCTTTATTTGAAGCTAAACAAAACAAAGCACTGTTGTATGGACATGTGGGTTTAACACAATAAAACGAATGGGAACTAATTCAGGAATACTTTAGGCTAACACAACAATGTGAACGTGCCTCTTCTCAACGACATTTCATTACATCAAGCAGGACTCGCTCGCCGGAGTTGAAATGCATGCGTCAAGCTTTTAATGTCACTTAAGAACTCGTCAGGTCCCTAGTGGCAGCCATGATGGCATCAATTCACAATTTTTTTTAATGAAATTCCAGGATCGGCAATTACCTAAAGCACTATTTCTATCTTGAAGACCTTCAAGGCACCACGGTGTGAGAATGATAATAATAAAGCTTAATTGAAATCTAATTTATAAACCCAAATTTACTGTGCTTTTAGTTTTTCTGAAAAATTTAGTTGTCCCCGTCTGCTTTCACCAAACTAAACACATCACAGTCAATGTCTGAATCAGCCCAATCAGTAAATTCACAAACAAAAGAACAAAATCAAAAGATGCCATTGGTCTTACAAAAAACCAGTAATCATTAAGTTGCTGCCATACGATCTGCCATGTTCACAGGCCAGCCAGAGTGTGCAGCAAGCTTTAGCAATAAGTGCTGCACTGTTTTGGAGCTTCACTTACAGCCTCAGATGCCTATACGAACACTTAGCTCAGCATTACATTTTATGAAGATTTCATTTGCGAGTATCTTTGAGTAAGACTAGAAGCAAGGCAGTATTCATGATAGGGCATCACAGGATGTCTGACAGTTATGGAATTAAGCAGTTGGGGCATAGTTACTCAGTTTTTCAGACCATGGTGTGAAATCACTAGGCTTGTGAAAACAGTGAATTGTAGGTTCGAAGCAAATTTGAAGCGAGCAGTGATTAGGTTCGAATAGTCTTGATCGAATTCAACGTGTATATATCATATATTATAAAGAAAAATGAGCACATTTGTGATGAACCAACTAACCTGTACAATATTGTTTTTAAAATTGAAACAAGGCCTGTGCAAATGCCATTCTTCTTGGTTCAAAGGAAGTGGAAACAACTTTCAATAGTAGCCGCATTTGACTTTTGATAGAATGCAAGTTATAACCTGTAAAATATGATATGTTTTAAAATTTACTATAATCAGATCATATAAGATAGTATAACAAGAATATAAACTTAAAAATGATGAATTGATGAGAGGGTAATATGGTCACTAAACGCTGAAGTCAAGCTCCGTGACAGTGCAGATTTTATTTTATTTTTCTGAATAGATGTTTTCATGACTTAGCACCTCTACTGCAGTGAAACCAGCTTTACAGGAAATTACATGCGGACTAACACGCATTTGAAATGTAAATTTACAATAAGTTAAATTCAAATCGAAGCGAATTCGAAAACCTTATTATTTGTTTGTATATTCGAGGCATTCGAATATTTGCACAAGCCTAGAAATCGCTAAGGTCAAGTATGTTGGAAGACCGTAGCATTTTCACTTCAAAGGTGGATGCACACAAGTCCGCACCAAGGGGCGCCAACTTCATATTGATGCCATAAGCTGGATGATCGGTAACACCATTGTCAGAAAAAATCACTGAGCACATGAATGGGCCTACTTCTGATTAATTGGCTGCCGTGGTTCCGTCCACTATGTCGGGCTTCTCCAGCCTTCTTCACTTGTCAGAACGGCATAATGGAGCCAGCATTTGATTCAACATGCTCCCGTGAGAATAATTTAAAAATAATTCTGTTGAGTCATTACCATAATGTCAAATACATCCCATAACTTTCATTAACAGTGTTTAAAGATAAAATAAAGTATATTTGACAGAGATCTGGGTGGCTGGGTAAAATTATTTGAATAAACAGACTGACTAGCCACATTTTATCTGTGGTTCTCAATGTTAAGAACTAAAGACTAAACATGGCTGTACAGTCTATTTGTATCAATGGTGTTGCATGGAACAGTCTGGTTGACTAAACTTATGATTTTATGAATCGTTATACTACTAGTGCAGAGATTAAACAGTCACTAGTGATTATAACAACAGGCACGTTACATGCCACATAGAAGTGGCATAATTTAATTGCTTTGACTGAACCGCTGCTATCGCCTAAAGCATGAAGATGCAGAAAAAAAAGTCGCATGTTATCTTTAACGACCTTAACCAATATAAATTGATGTTTTCTTGTCACACTTACTTGAATTCATGTGTAAATAAATAAAAAAAGAAAAGTGTAATAATTTGATAACCATTAATGTTAAGGGGACCTAGCCTTGGAGTCGCGAAATTTGGCAAAAAAAATCGACTTTTCAAAAAATCACATTTTCACATTCTGTGACTTTCCTAACTTCAAAATATCGTCCTTGAAAACGATGCGAAAATGATGTAATGAATTTTCATCGAAGCAAAGGTGGCGATGTATTTCTCCGAAATAGCAAAAAAAACTACGTTTTTTGAGTCTCAATACC